GCGGGTCACAATCTTAGCTTTTTAACCGACACCGGAAAATATCTCTGAGTTATATCCAATGCCACAATCAACTACTTGACGCAAGGTATTATTGTCAAGCACTTCAACCGGCAATAACTATACAATTTACTTAAATTACTTGCCAACGAATTTAGGTTAATCAATCAAATTATTACTGCTTCGTCGTCGCGTGAACGCACTAGGATAACCAAACTGCGTCTATTTTTCTAGACTCAACGAAACTTCGTCGTTGCATAAATTTGCTAACAAAACTGACACTAAAAAAGGAGGTTATACCGGACGATCACGTCGTGCTAGATCGCACTGCCTTTTTTTGACTTCCGCCGCGCCACGCCGTTCAACGGAGATTGCAGACTGTCTCGTGGCGCGAGACGCCTCGGCCAACCGTCGTGTTAATCGACACAACAGGTGATCGGGCGTGAGCGGGGGAACGCGCGCGGGGAGGAGAGGCCCGACAGCGACTCCTGTTGCCATCGGACGCTAGCGCTCGTAATCCAGTTTTAAAAATTTTGCATTTGGCGCAAAGAATGTATAACTAGCTGTTCCCCGCGACTTCGCCTGCGTTCAATTTAGGGTTTTAATTTTTTTGCGCGGAACCCTAATTCTTTCCCTAAAATAAAAGTAACCTAAGTTACTCCTTATAATATTAGCTATATGTCAGTGAAAGTCCCGTCAAAATTGTTCCAGCCATTTCGGAGATTAGCCGGAACAAACAGACAGACAAAATTTTAAAAAATTGTGTTTTTTATTATAAGTACCGTATATACTTTCATATGTAATTAGTAAATTTTGATATTACAAACGACACTTTAATTTTATTTATTTACTAGCTGTTCCCCGTAACTTCGCCCGTGTGTTATTTAGAGTTTTAATTTTTTTTGCGCGGAACCCTAATTCTTTTTCTAAAATAAAAGTAGCCTAAGTTACTCCTTACGACATCAGCTATCTGCTAGTGACAGTCCCATCAAAATCGGTCCAGCCGTTTCGGAGATTAGCCGGAACAAACAGACAGATAGATAGACTGACAAAAATTTTAAAAATTGTGTTTTTGCTATTAGTTTTGTATATACTTTCATATGCATTTAGTAAAAAGCTATTATTTTGACATTACAAACAGACATTTCAATTTTATTTATTTGTATGTATAGATATAGGAGATATAGATGTATAGTAGTAAAAATATGTATATAATAAAGCCCGCTTTTCACTATGGGATATAATATAATATATATTACATCTCGAGATATAAATTAATATCGCTCACCATACTTTTAAATGGAACCGTTACACTGAGCTATAATATAATATATTACATCTCAAACTATAAATATTTTTTCGATAGACCAAGCGATATTTTCATATTATATTTCACCCGCTGTACCCCGCACACCATTCCGCATGCGGTTCCGTGTGCGGGGTACAGGGGGTAATCCAATAACGAACGCACACTGGTTAAAAGATATATCTCACAGTGTGAAAGCCAATCGCGGGATATAATTTATATTTCGGGATATAATATATATCTATATCCCACTATGGGATATATAATATATATTATATAGTGAAACAGCCAGCCTAATAGTGTAAATATGTATAGCAGACTATTAATTAAAGGATACTCCAAAGATTATAGGTGTAGGAGTTGTCTACACTTTTAGTACAGTTAAGTCTGCCAAGTGGCAACTTTACCAATGGAAGTTAATTTTGCCATCAGAGGTGTACTGGTAGATTACTATTAACACGGAAAATGTAACGTTTTTCGAGATATGCCATTTTTGGATGAAAATACAATAACTAATTGACAGCATCGCTTCCGACTTCGATTTTTTTTAAAATACTGAATGTAGGTATCTATATATTTGTAGAAACTTAATATTAATGGTTGTCAAATGTAATATATCGTTTATAACATCTTGGTCTTAACATTTATCTATAAAACTAACTTGGCAAAGTTACCATATTAGTGATACTACGATGTGAAGGTTTCTTTGCAATGTTTTGCTACAATCAAGGGTTGTCACTTTCAAACTACATTTTTAACCAATTACGTCTATTTAAAGAATGGGTTCTGTACTTGACATTCTATGTATGTATTTTAGTATCAATGTTTCACAGTAGCAGCCTATTAGACCGATTTTACCAAATGAGTCGTCAATCAATTCATCTTAATGAAAAGTGAAGGAAAAGAAAAGAGAAATCTATATTATTTTTAGTGCATTGTTGTGTTGGGCGTTAGTAATATTATTACTACTCAGTATTTTTATAATTTCAATTTAGTGTATTGTTATTTGTATATTAATTTTTACACAAAAAAACCGTGATGCTTTAATGATTATGAATGTTTTGCTATAGTGGCAAAACAATATTTAGATTGATTACAATAATTATTCTTTACCTGACGGGTTGTAAAAAAATGATGACGATGACCAACGAAAAACGAATACTTGTTTAAAATGATTGTGACATGCTTTTTTTTTTATTTATACTATAATTGATTTAAGCTCATTATTGCACCAATTTGATTTTTAATTTTAGACGAGAGTATTTTTGTTTGATATACTTTAAATTTTTGCTTAAGAAATTATTGTGACAAGATTTAAATTAAAAATTTAATTATGTAATCAAGGATTTTTGACAACCCTGACAGATATTTTCAACTTATTATGAATTATTGAAAAATGGGAGGGCCAAAGAGAATATAATCACTACGTTTAGGGAGGGCAACTTTGCCATAAGCGTAAACTTTGCTATTTGCAACACAATTAAAGGAGCAAATCATAACGCTGAGTGTTGTGTATTAGATTATGAGGTAAACTTACCTTCAACCTTGATGTTAAATCCTATTATTTTCATTATAAACCCTAATTGCAAAGTTGCCACAAAGTGAGGTTAACTTTGCCATTTTTTATTTTTGAGTATTTTGTCTATTTCATATAAGTATTTGTTTAAATCACTAATAAATAACAAATCTATGAATAATATAATGTCATATTTAACATTGACGCCCAGTCTGACAATATCGTTTTTGTTAAAACATTTGTCTTAAGCTTTTAAGTCCTTCCAAAAATGGCAAAGTTATCAGGTTTCGCGGTACTTAAAATGATAATTTAGGATGATATTGATAAGAAATGATAAATAAATTGATAATAACCAATTCCATGGTGTGTTAAGTGAACACTAATTTTATAAGAGTAAAGCATTAACAATTTTGCCACGTTTACAAAACGCGGTGCGGTACAACGCTTATGTGTTATTTCTTAATATTTAGGTATCAATAAAATGTTCGAGTAAAGCGTAAATCCTATCTCTCAAATAAGAAAAAAAAAACAACTAAGTTATAATTAAATAATTATTTACATTTTTATAGTAACATGTATTTAATAGTTACAGCTAGTGCTAATGTTCAATGAGATGCGACAATGCGTTACTTAATTTTACAACATAATGTTATATAATACAATTATCCAGTGTTACAGTGCACGACACATTCACTCACAAGCTACCTGAAACTTAATTGAACGATTAATCATAGCAGAGGTAACCTCGACACTTATCACTGATTCGGGTATATCTATCGGAGCACTTTGTCCGTGTCCGCACATTCATCACCACTTCACTGGTACTGTCACTATCCGCAGTGTGTGCACCATCCCCAGGCTGCCTCTGGTTGCGCGATGAACTTATAAAGGGTCGATTCGATCAGAACGGAGGTTAAGTGCTGAAACGCGAAGACACCGCTCACAAGCAATAGTAAGCCGGTGATAATTTATACCCAAGTGTTTGCAAAATTACTTATTCATTGACTGGATAAGTTGTCATCTTCTCGATATACCGATATTTTTAGGCTCGGGTTGTGGCCTCGATAATAATGGACCACCTATTAGGTGTGCCCAGGGGTTAGTACGGGATAGTCGGGATTTCCGGTTAAAGAAAAAAGGGACCGATAATTAAGACAAGCTTCCACCTGATGCAGTAGGGTATTAAATTCTTCGAAGGTCCATTTTTGATCTCTTATGACTCTTTTGATGTGGTACTTGTGAATCTTCACGGCGGCCTCCCATAACCCTCCAGAATATAGATAGGCTGGCGCGTTAAAATGCCAACCAACCCATATTTGCAATATTGTCTAAAAAGTCCCTGTTGATAGTTTCCATGATATCCCGATATTCCCGCTTTAAAATTCTGTTGTCACCTACAAAGTTTGTTCCATTATCGCTATATACGTGACTAGGAACTCCTCGACGAAAAAAAATCCTTGGAATGCTGCTAAGAACGCTGAAGTACTTAACCCCTCATGTGCCGCACCATTTTATTTTTTTACGCTTCAAGCGTCAGGGGTCGTTCGGGAGGTCGCCCGATACAGGTAGGCGCTAATGTAAACAATGATATCTTTTTAATTTTGTATGCTATCTATATATAAAAGTTATATGCATTGAATCGTTATGAATTAAGCTATATAATTCTATTTTATTAATATTAAATTCTATTTTTATAATATTATCAATCTCATTTCAAAATGATGTGACCTTGTACATAAAGGATAAGGATTATGAAGGTATTTGTTTTATTTGCATAATAATACAACATTATATTAAAATAGACTTAAAAAATCACACCTCAAAATATTTTTTTCACACAACCCTTTAATATTTACCTCCTTTTTAAAACAGGTTAAAACAATCGAAAGTATAGAAATCATTAGGGCTTAGGTCGGGGCTGTACGGCGGATGGTCTAATAATTCTATGTTTTCTTGCTCTAAAAACTCTTTTGTTCTGTGTGCGGTGTGAGAACTCGCATTGTCGTGATGGAGGATGATGCGGCGGTTGCAGTTCTCTTTACCGAGTTCGGTTAGCATACCATTCTGCATTAATCGTTCTTTGTCCCTCAAGAGAAATAGTCGTAATATGGCCGGTTTTAAAGACAAACGTGGCCACCATTTTTTTTGCAACACTCCGTGAACGAACAATTTTTGTTGGCTTTAACTCATTTTCGAACACTCAAACTCGTGACTGGTTTTTTGTTTCGGTTCGAACGCGTATATCCAGGATTCGTCTCCTGATACGATGTTATATACAGCATTTGAGGATCCTGCATGGAAATCCTGTCTTTCGAGAGTTCTGACGCACCAAGTAACGCGAGCCGCTTTTTGCTCTTCACAGAGCGAATGCGGTATCCATCGGGAAAACAACTTTTTTACACCTAATTGTTCATGCAAGATTATTTGTATTTGACTCATGCCAATGTCTAAAGTTGCCTGAATTTCGCGGTATGTCACATGTCGATTTTCCTCAATCAGCTTACGCACAGCATCAACGTTTTCTTGGGTGACTGCAGTTTTTGGACGACCTTGACGGGGATCATCACTGAGCTTGACACGTCCACGTTGAAATTCAGCAAACCAGCGATAAATTGTGGTTTTGGATGGGGCTTCATCACCAAATGCAGAAATCATTCGGTCAATACACTGTTTTTGTGTTAAACCACTTCGAAAGTCATAATAAATCATCGCTCTTGAATTTTTTCGGGTCAATTCCATTTTCTCAACGAATAAACAAGTTTGACAAAACCTTGTGACAAGACAGAGAATCTTTTTTTAAATAAATAAATGGTATACGATTTTTAAAACCAAGGGGTTTTCAATTAAAAAGATTTTAATATGACAGGAACAGTGGAAATATTCCATTCCCGATACTTTTAGTGCAGCCTATGTAACCCAATTTTCCCTAATGTATGATAAGCTTAGCCTAGTTCCACCAGGCGCGTTGTAGCGTGCGCCTGATTAAAGTTCGGTGAGCTGATTGTGACTTCATAGTATTATGAAATGTTTAGAAGACCAGATTATTTCCGCGTTGTTAAGTCTACCTCCAACTCTAATTAATCTTTGGTCGTCTATAAATGGGTTCAAACTTGCCAATTTGCTTGTTCTATGCACAACATGCTCGTTAATTTATCTAGGCGTAATCTTGAACTTATGTAAGACCGCTTTAGTGCGCCCGATCTTTAACTTTAGGACTCAGACCCGTCCAACTACAGGCTTATCACCATCGTCTTCTTGATCTCCAAAATAATGGAATCCGTTATAAACTGCCAGCTCATAAGTTACCTTGAGGACCACCAACTGACCGTACAATACCGCGGTCACTTGGAAGGGAAGACTAAATTGGCCTCTAAAAAGCTTACTCAGCAGAGTGCGCCATACCCATAGCGGGATATAGATATATATTATATCCCGAAATATAAATTATATCCCGCGATTGGCTTTCACACTGTGAGATATATCTTTTAACCAGTGTGCGTTCGTCATTGGATTACTCCCTGTACCCCGCACATGGAACCGCATGCGGAACGGTGTACGGGGTGGGGTACAAGGGGCGAAATATAATATGAAAATATCGCTTGGTCGATCGAAAAAATATTTATAGTTTGAGATGGAATATATTATATTATAGCTCAGTGTAACGGTTCCATTTAAAAGTATGGTGAGCGATATTAATTTATATCTCGAGATGTAATATATATTACATTATATCCCATAGTGAAAAGCGGGCTTTATTATATACATATTTATACTACTATAAATCTATATCTCCTATATCTATACATAAAATTGAAGTGTCTGTTTGTAATGTCAAAATAACAGCTTTTTACTAAATGCATATGAAAGTATATACAAAACTAATAGCAAAAACACAATTTTTAAAATTTTTCTCAGTCTATCTGTCTGTCTGTTAGTTCCAACTAATTTCTGAAACGGCTGGACCGATTTTGATGGGACTATCACTAGCAGATAGCTGATGTCGTAAGGAGTAACTTAGACTACTTTTATTTTAGAAAAAGAATTAGGGTTCCGCGTAAAAAAATTAAAACTCTAAATAACACGCGGGCGAAGTTGCGGGGAACAGCTAGTAAATAAATAAAATTGAAGTGTCGTTTGTAATATCAAAATTTACTAAATACATATGAAAGTATATACGGTACTTATAATAAAAAACACAATTTTTAAAAAATTTGTCTGTCTGTTTGTTCCGGCTAATCTCAGAAATGGCTGGAACGATTTTGACGGGACTTTCACTGACATATAGCCAATATTATAAGGAGTAACTTAGGCTACTTTTATTTTGGGAAAAGAATTAGGGTTCCGCGCAAAAAAATTAAAACCCTAAATTGAACGCAGGCGAAGTCGCGGGGAACAGCTAGTTATACATATTTATACGTGTGAGTATTTCTAGCACAGATTAATATGATGCTTCTATTTAGTTTTTGGTTTGTTGGTGATATTTACTTATCTATGATCTGTGCTCTGCGCCGGACCTTGCGTCATGAATTTGCATTTAGAAAAAACTGAAATTAGGGGCTTTTTAGGTGCTAATTAGGAGCCAAGTTTAAAAATTAGTTGCTCTAAAATTTTCACCCTAACGAACTATGCGTTGCTAGCGATACGTTTTGTCAGCAACGCAAATTTCAACAGTTGGTTGCGTTGAAAATTTTAGAGCAACTAATTTTTAAACTTGGCACCTAACTAGCATCTAAAAAACCCCCAATTTTGGGTTTTTTTTTAATGCAAATTCCTGACTTTGCTTTGCTGGCGAGACACAGCTATAGTATTATTATATTAATGACCAAAGAAGCATAGAATTATTGGTTTTCTACTTTTAAGTTAATAATTCTATTCTTTTTAGGTCATTGATGGATGCCATTCACGATCTAGTTAACCGTTAAGTTTGCAGTGCGCTTAAAGCGGCGTCCGGTAAACTTTGACGGTGTATGGCTATCAGTGTAGATGACAAGACTACCTGAAGAAAAAATTTAATTTCGATTTTGCCGACATGATCAAGATTGCAGCGTTATGTAAACTTGAACATATGTATGAGCAGTTACGTATGCATGACGTTAGTCGGAGCAGAAAAGTAAGGATGGCAAACTCATCGTTGTCCGTCACTGGTGACAACAGAGTACTTTTTTCTGGTGACGCTATGGTTTCAACTGGTACGGCATCATGCATACTAGACGGCGAATTTAAACGTGAGTGGTCTCTTTTAAGCCCCGGATGCACTAGGGGACATTTGTCTCGCAACATAACGCGGAACACTCAATCTACGTGACGATGCAACGTTGCACAATGACCCGCAATATGGCCTGCAACATTTTACGTGACGCGGAACATGATGCTTGTTCCCGCTCTGAGAGCGAGCGCACGTGTCCCGCATTAATGTCGCACCATTTGTTACCGGATGTAGCCGTGTGCCTTGCAAGTTGCAACGTAGTTTACAACTTGCAAGTAGTATGGGGAAACAAAACCGTACTTTTATTTCTTGAGTTTTACCAAAGTCATGTTTGTTGTGGGATACTTCAAACCACAAACTTCTAGTACTATTCTACCGATCAGTTGTTTCAACGTTCAAAAAGAATATGACAAAGAAGTATAAAAATCTCCAGTTGTGTATGTTAATGCAATGGCAAGTATGATATGAGGGCCAACAGCGTTCCGTATTGTATCCTGTTTGTCAATGGAAAGTTCGATCCATAGACTAATGTGATGCTTACGCATGTCCGATAATTTTTAATAAAGTTTCAAAATCAGATGTTAACATTCAAGTAAAATTTACAAAAGATCCATCAGACATTCAGGGATCACATAAAATATTAAATCTTCTTTCTTCTCCTTGTAGGAAGAAATTCCGCATCTACCACCTTCTCTTTCGCTTAAGTTTCACTCCCAACCTCCACAACCGCCACAAGCACCTCGGGCGATTTCCTTCCTTCCTTAATAACTGGCTTAATGGCTCTGGGTTCTAGCCCTTCTGAGCCTGAAGTTACAATGTATAATTATACTTCATAGTACACTGCTTCACAATATGTTGATGCGTCACATTGTGCAGTCCTTGGGAGATTTGACAGCAACTTGAGCCAGCAGACAGCTGACAGTTGGTGATGGTATCTCAAGGCGCCTATGGAGACAGACACCTTATCTTGAGAATCACATCACCATCAGAGCACTTGTTTCACCGTTTCCACTAATAGTACACATGCGTAGACATTTAATATACCAAATCGCACCACTTTTACATATCAAAATTCACTTCAAACCATTATTTAAACAATAATACCGGGGCAGCGATCCGTCGCCGGTCAAGTTCCCGCCAAAACCCCCTCCTCGGGCGACATTTCTGTAAGCCACAGACTAATATGATACTTACGCATATGTAAGCAATGACTATTGTGGCTTGCAATATGTTCCGCGACATATGTCTCGGGATATTCCACGTAGTTGTTGAGCGACATGTTGCGCAACATGCCGCTCCTTTTGTCCCCAATTATATCCAAGGCTTATGGATGCACTGTAAACTGGTTGCCGCTTGAAGCGTGCTGCAAACTTGACGGTAAACTGGATCGTGTATGGCATTTTTTTATATTTGTGTATATTCTATGCTACATGTTTATTAATCTGTGCTCTGTAGCCTCTGGAAGGGCAAGAACCCAAAGCCGTAAAGCCAGTTTAAAAAAAAATGACACTATAGAAATCGAATGAATATGAAATTTTAATTTTATTTATTCCATAAACGTTCATATTTTAATGAATAAACTTATTGCCGATAGCTGTAAATACAAATAAAATGCGTAATGCTACGTCAGAGATTTCATGGAATATGTCATAAAGGTTGTGTAAATTATTTTTTAAATAATGACAGGTTATGTTTACCGCTATAATTGTTATTTTTGGACTATACATATTACAGAGTTACAGACACGCTGTCCGTTGACTTTGGGCGGGAAATTGGTGAACAGCCAATAGCATTGTGTCTATTTTGTTCTTTATATTTTCAGTTTTTAGACAAATTCACAAAATGAGCGTTTCGAAATCAAAGCCTTTTACTGTATTCGTGGAAGGAAATATTGGAAGTGGTAAAACAACATTTCTGGAGCATTTTAGACAGTTTGAAGATATTACATTGTTGACGGAACCTGTTGAAGAATGGAGAAACCTTCGTGGATGGAATTTATTGGTAAAATATATTTTCTTTAAAGAATGTAGGGTATTTTTAATACATAATTTTGTCAGTTAATCATTATAATACGCTTTTCAGGACTTAATGTACAAAGACCCAGCAAAATGGGCAATGACCTTTCAAGCGTATGTTTCTCTTACCATGTTAGAAATGCATCGCCGATCGACTTCCACTCCTGTAAAATTAATGGAACGCTCAATATACAGTGCTAGGTATTGTTTTGTGGAACACATGATGAAGGCTGGTACCTTACATCCAGCCCAGTTTGCTGTCCTAGATGAGTGGTTCAGGTTTATTCATCAACAGATACCCATTGAAGCTGATCTAATAGGTTAGTATTATCAACTCTCTCATGCATCATACCCTCTTAAAAATCAAAGTAATGGATAAAGTTATGTCCACTTTAGTTTTGTAGTATTGAGTTTAATTTTTGTAGAATAGCAAATTTTGGATTTAGTATTTTATTTTAATAATTATTATTACTGTTGTGAAATAAAATATGTATATAATTTTTAATTGTATTGTAGAATTTTTTATTTTATATGAAGAGGTTACCATGCATAAGATTGTTTTTTTTTTATTATGATTATGTTTAATAATATGAACAATGAAATCCCACCTTGTTTTGTTACATTCTTTAGTTGTCTTTGTTAGAGACTTTAAAAAAAACAGTCTTTCAAGTTTATTTCATGTTTTTTTGTATGATTTTGAAGTTTGATGATTATTTTTTTATTAATTAGCTTATAAGTTCAGGGATGGTCACATATATGTTTGAAGAAAATATTCCACCTGTACTGGTGACAAAATAAGGGATGAAGTTTTTAATAACATTAAATAATTTAGACAATATTGAAATTTTAATATTCCTTAGTCTACTCAAAAGGGTAAAAACATATTAAAGAAAAGTAAAAGCCAAAAGAGACTCAACTTCAACTAGAATCAATATAATAGTGCATTCTGAGGTTGGGTCTTTAATTTTCCTATTCACATGTTTTAGCACCAACTTCAGAATGTGAAATTATTTTATTCTTTTTAGTTCCTTGAAGTTAGTTTTTACTTTTTATTAAAAGTATATTTATTTTTATATTATAAATAGTGGTTTGATCAGGGTTGCATGGGATAATTATCAAGATAATTATCATGATAACTATCAATGACAAAAATGTTTATACCTGTGTGTGTTATTGTGTGGCAAGTTTTTGGCATCAAGTCGATAGTGTGTATTTGAACATGATAATTGTCAAGGGGTAAGAATTCACATTATGCTCAATGTGTAGTTTTATTAGTTTTTTTTGTATTGGTTTCTGAATAATACAGTCATATACTTAAAAAATCATGCTACAAAATCTGGATTTATTGTGGTTAAAGTTTGACTGCATAAATAAAAAAAAGTGGTTTATGGGCTTGATGTAAGACATGTATGACAAATGAAAAGAGGTAAAATGACATGACAAAAAAAGGTTTAAATTTTGATTTTATCAAACAGAGAGCATTTTTTTTGTTATGAAACAAAAGAATTATAACTATTAAAACTCTTTTTACACATTATATTGCTGGATAATTATAAGATAATTATTGAATAATTATCATTGATCATTATTATCTCGTTAATTTGCAATCCTGGGTTTAATTAAATTGGGATTAAAAAAATTGTGTTTGTTTCTACTAACATTGTGTATTAAGGTAATGTATATTGATGTTAATAATAATTATTATTATTTCAGTTTACCTCAAAACAACACCCAGTGTAGTTTATGAGAGGATAAAGAAAAGAGCACGTTCTGAAGAGCAGTGTGTCCCGTTAACTTACATAGAAGAGTTGCATAAGCTGCATGAAGACTGGTTGATCAATAGGACACATGCAGAATGTCCTGCTCCTGTAAGATTATAAATATATCCTAATATTTATCATCACACACGAGTTTTGTAGCCGATGGTCACATTGTTTGCAGTAGATTTACTTTAGTGTCCGACCGAAACCGTAAACGAACCTTCAGTCTGGGTGTCAATTCGGCCGAAACCAAAACCGAAAGCGAAACTTATTTAGACATGTTATTTTTTATTATTAACTGAAATCTGGTATATTTTTTATACGTACAAAGATAGGTACTGCATGTTAATGAAAAATATTAGTTATTACAATACTAAAATAAATAAATGTAATATACTTTATTTATTTTAAAGTAAAAAATCAACAATTTAACCCACCCATAAAAAGTTACTCACTAATTAAGAACACATTTTATTGTGTTCACAATAGTGTGTAAAGTAATATATCATTCGATGAGAGCATTAACGTAATATAATTACGAGTTATACAGGAGTCACATTCTCATCCGAACGACGCACGACGCACGATAATCCACAAACACTTGAGTTTCGGCGTCGTCGAAGTTTCAGCAGTTTTTTTGCCGAACCGAAACTATTACCGAAACTAGATTTTTTTGCCGAAACTTACCGAAACCGAATCTTCGGGCGGTCACTAATTTACTTATTTATTAACTTTCATCAATTTGTTTTGCTGCTGGTTATTCCAACTTTCAATGATTTATCTTATAAAAGTGTTAATATGAATTGTGTGTACAAAGTCACACACACACAATTCATTATTTATACATCAACATTAAAATATTTCCGTTATTAAAAAAAATTGTATGCCTATTTGGCTTGTCATTAATATTGAGAGGTGTTTGGTTTCAAAGTAGAAGTATAGACCATTTTGGTTCTACAAACAAGGAAAAAAACAAATGGTAGCAATTACACAATGTTTACTGAGAGTTGTACACTCTCATACTGAACGGCAGGCATGTGTGTAGAGTTAATTCTGATATTAAAATATATGATAAATGATAACTAATAAGAAAAACTGGTAAAAATATTCAAGTCTAAGTTCAATGTTTCATTAAAAATTCACTTTCACTTCACTTTATGCTCACTACACTCGGGACCTCGAATTTTAGTAGTCATGGCATAATAAGTGAGGTTGCTACACTTTTGTAGCACTGACCTGACTTGGGCTGTTTGGCGCCGCGGCGTTCCTTCGCAGCTTCCTCAGAGCTCTCCCTTAGGGGCTTCTCCTCTGCCATCAAAAGATTATAAGGACAACTCCAGATGTACCGCCTTTGTCGCTAGACTTACAAAAACGGATACATACCATTTTCTTATTTGAACTCCTATACCTTTGGTTGATTTAATGACAACAAATCCGGTGAAGTCCACACCTGTGTTTATGAATGGACGTGTCGGAATGACCCTCAGCTGTGGCAGGTCTAGATCTGCTTTTACAGTGTGTAACCCACAAATTATCCTAATTTTTGTCTGCTAAGTGATAATGTGAAGACCGTGTAACTGAATTCCATAAGTCAGCTATGGGATGAAAAAATAACAGGATGTTTTGAGTAGTACCTCAAGTATACATGTTCGAGGCGGCCACCAACCGTTAAAATGCCATATTTGTCTAATATCGGAGATAAGCTTGATAATTTACCATTATTTGTAACGTTCTGTGTTTTTTTAAATAATTAAAATTATCTTCAAAGTTGTTTAATACAACCTAAACTTGTTTAATAATTAAATCAAGAGTAAATTGTTTTTCATTTGGTGATAAAACCAAGAAATCCACTTCTCCATATCATCCCACGTGGGTGTTGTTGAAGAGGTGACAGAGGGAAACAAATCAGGAGATGGGTCCTATATCATCTTCCTAATAACGACTAATAATTAAAAACTGCGGTTGCCAACCCGCTTTCCAAGCATGGCAACTTTTTTTTTTTTATAGGAGAGGGGGCAAACGAGCATGCGGCTCACCTGATGGTAAGTGACTACCGCCGCCCATGAACAACCGCAACACCAGGGGAATTGCAGATGCGTTGCCGGCCTTTTAAAAAGGAGTAGGCTCTTTTCTTGAAGGTCCCTAAGTCGTATCGGTCCGGAAAAATCGCTGATGGTAAACTATTCCACAAGGAAGTTGTGCGAGGAAGAAAACATCTTCTAAATCGCACAGTGGTGGACCGCCAATCATCCAGATGGTGTGGATGGTATCGGGAGTTCTGCCGCGATGTGCGTTCGTGAAATTTGGCGGCTGGGATTAATCCGAACAATTCCTCAGAGCACTCCCCATGGTAAATGCGAAAGAAAATGCTAAGAGATGCAACATCTCTTCGCAGTGCCAATGAGTCGAGCCGATCGGAAAGGACTTGGTCGTCGACGATTCGAGCCGCTCTGCGCTGGATGCGGTCAAGTGGAAGAAGCTGGCACTGGGGAGCCCCAGCCCAGAGATGGGAACAGTATTCCATGTGAGGCCGAACCTGCGCCTTGTAAAGTTGCAGGCGTTGAGCCGCCATGAAATACTGTCCCGCTCTGCTGAGCACGCCAAGCTTTTTAGAGGCCAATTTGGCCTTCGCTTCCAAGTGACCACGAAACTGCACGCTACTCGATATGTCGACGCCGAGGATTCCGATACTGGCTGAGGCAACAAGGGGAGTACCTTGAAACTGAGGAGATACGACAAAGGGGTTCTTTTTAGCGGTAAACGCGCAAACTTGTGTCTTCTGAGGATTAAACTGGACTAGATTTAGTCGCCCCCAATCCGAGACTTTGTCCAGCAAAGACTCGACTTCAGACACAAGTTTGTTCCGGTACTCGGTGACGTTTTCCCGAGAAATATTGGCACGGCCGGTGTATAGAGCATCACCAGTGCTGTCATCTGCATAGCAATGAATGCTACCAGCGTGCAACATATCATTGATATGCAGAAGAAACACCTTGATGCTCCGATCTGCAAGAAAGCTGGTGGTCCAATTGCATAATTTCTCGGGAAGCCCATAGGAAGGGAGCTTAATATGCCTTCTATAAAGCAATTTAACAGGAAGAGACCTATGTTCAGCAGTGAACTTTAATTAGGCTGTAACGCTATAAAGCAGTGGCGACGGATCATATTGCTTAGTGGCGCGTACGCGTATTATGAAGTTTTAATTACCTTGCTGATAGAGTTATTGTCATTTAATAATTGTATTACGAATGAAGGTGTATTTGATTGTTAAGCTGCAATTACACTGGGCTTCTTTTCTTCAATTGATGGGGTTGGGTAGGTGAAAGAAATGATGTCATCATTGTTGAATTTAGGTAGGCATTCTGACCCTTGTCACCACAGAGAATGGCTAGACAGCTGTACCGTTGCCATACCTTGAAGTAGCACAATCCGCGGCATTGTCATCGTAGTGCCATGATGTTGATGGTATGATCTCTAATATCTGCTTGACTCTGTTAGCCACAAATTGTTTCCACCTTGATAAATCTCCTGGAAGCCACCCCAAGACCAACATGAAGACAGTCCATGTGTTGATTTTAATATCTTCGATAGCTGATGAATTAACTGTTTTATTAATTAGCTATGAAAATAATAAAGTGAAGTAAATTTTATAAAGTGATATTTTATACTTGTGTGGTGTCACATTTGTTTTTACCGCTATCTATCTACATCTTTACTCTCCTTTATTGTTTTTCAACATAGCGTAAACAGAACAAGTGCAAGCTTTCTTCGATGCATCACAAAATCTATGTAGTTGAAATTAGTCTTCTGTATCTCCAATATGCCGTTTTCGTATTTTTTGACATGTTTCTTGTCTTGGCTAGGCTTGGACATGCCGAGGCCTTTGAGAATCAGGTTCTATATGTAGAGTGCTCCTAGACCTACCATTATCCAAAAAAATTTAAGGTATAGTAGGAAGTCAATAAATAGAAAGATCTTACTTGAACGTCGACGATTAGCTGAGCGGTAGCTCCCAGGCTAGCCTATGATATCTCTGGTCTGCTATGTGCTGCTCTTAGCTAAACATTGTAAGTTGAGCTTGATGAAGGAATACATTAGTTCCTCACTTCACAGTTATTTTTGGATGATATTACTTGATAAAAGTTAGTTCAGGTATAGTTTTAAATGATATAAAATGATTATCACTACACCTTTCAGTTTTAGTATGATAAAAATCGTTTATAAATTCACTGAACCGCCCACGAACGCATATACGCGGCACAAGGTCCCACATTGACCTTGCCACATGCTAGATCAAATGTACGGATGGACTGACGAAAGATCCCCCTTATTCGTAAGCCAATAAATGTGGGATGTAATTCCCACACTTGTTATTAGATGCTACAAGATGGAATAAAGGTTGTTATGATATGATATTGATATGATTGATATATGTAGATTGATTGATGTTTTGATATTAGTATGATAAGAAAACAACTGCTTGATATGAATGCCTGTAATGCACTGATCGCTGAGTATTGGCGCATAAAAGTGCAGCGTTAATAAGATTGATAAGTTATCAAATTTAAATACATATTTAGCTAATTAGGAAAAATGTATATGTTTCATCATACGCTGTGGATTGTATAAGCTTATAAGAGGTTACAGAAGAAAATCAAACAAGTGTTGGCCAACTGTACTGTTGGTTCTGGGCCAATGCTTAGCTGTGGATTTTTATAGGCTGTAATTAATGAATCATCCAAGTAGGTTGTTAATTTTAATTAGTTATATTTTTAGTGTAGTAAGCGAAGAATAGGGTGTGGCCCCTCACTAGAAGGAGTGACTCGGACGGTGCTTTGTGGCATTCCTTGGGGGAGGTCTGTAATGATGATGATGATGATGATGATGAATCACTCAGATTGTCACTTCTGGAGACTTCATACTTCAGAATCATTTGATGGTTCATTTTTCATTCATCATTGAGTTTTGAAAGAGAGAAAGAAATTAAATTTCACAAATTTCTTTTCCAGGTACTTGTGATAGATGCAGATCTAGATTTATCCCAAATAACCGAAGAATATAGAAAGAGTGAACACCAAATACTGAGAAAAGCTGTGGATGTAGTGATGAATTCACCTAACAAGCTTAGTCCAAAGAAACCTATAAGCAGCTCGCCTATAACTATAATGCCACAAATAAGACTATAATGTTATTGACATTGTAAAATTTGCTTTAATTTATTTTAATTATGCTTTTCTTTTATTTAATGTTAATTAATTTTCTTTAAAATAAGGTTTGCAAAGATCCATGTGCAAGCTATATCACTAATTGAATTAGTATGAAAATTAATGTAGGATTGAAGTATTTATAAAAAGAAAGAAGATTGTATAAAAAAAAGTAAATATGTTTAACACTTGAATATTTTAGGGTAGACTGTCTTTTCAAAGATAAATAAGGTCCAGAATTGACGCATTTAACAAACTGTTAGTAGTATTATTTTGTGCTGTTGCATTTGTTCATTCTGTTTTGAGCATTATCAAATAATGGCTCAAATTTAAGTATTAAAAATTAATTGGTAGGTAAAGAAGATTAGCATAAATAAACTTCTGTGTTCAACATTTTTTAAACTGGTGTGAGCATCAGAGTTAACTACTAATACACAATATATTTATATGTAAAAATATATTCATGAATATATAAAAAAGTAACAACCTTATTTTATGACCAAGTTAAATGACCAATAGTGAACATTTTTGATTACTGCTAATTTCTTTGAATTATCATGTAATAATTTATGTACTACATCATGGACATGATTTCAATGTATACGTAAGAAAAACCTTACTAAAATTAATTGTAATTAGTTTGTAATGAGAAAATACTTTGAATATTTTTGTCATAAAGGAATTGCTATAAAAATTTAATATATGGCGGCATTTTTAAGATATTTACTATTTAATTATATCTACTTTGCTAGTGAGTTTTTATTTTAAAGATCACTGTTGTTTACTCAAAAATATCCATGTTACAGGTTCATAGATTCTCTTATAAATTCCTCAATATTTTATTTTCTAATTAACTGTAGGTAATGATAATAAAGAAAATCTTATTTTATTTTTGATTTTCTTATTTTTCTTAGTGTGTTATATAGTGTATTTGGCTGCCTCCTTGGTATAGTGATCGTAAACGCGTTAGCTTGTCATAAGGTCCCGTGTTCGAATTCCGGGTCTGGCCAAAATCAGTTATTGGGTTTTTCTGTCAATAAATTCTCAGTAGCAACCCAACGTTAGGAAGTTGGCGGTGCTTCACCCCCGTGCCTCGGAAAGCACGTAAAGCCGTTGGTCCTGCACCTGATTTCTCTCCGTTCGTATAGAATTACCGTCCTATCGGACTATGAGAGTGAGGGCATTATAATCCTGTCTTGCGCAGATGGCTTGACTCTGTTGAGACTGGCTGTTGATCGAAATTCGGTCTGGAGGACATAATAATTATTATTATTATATAGGGTTATTTTTCAAAGAGTAGTCAAATTTTAAGTTCAAACCTACCAAACTTCGTACCTACCTATATACGAGTATCAATACCGTTATTGCAGTTTTTGAAAATACGAGTCAATAAGGCTTCTTATTTGAAATTATCCCAAACTGAATGTGATTTATGGGCAAGAACGTTTTTGTCTACTGAACAACCCTTTCGAATGTGTGCGTGCGCAGTAAAATCAGTTAAAATAATGCATTACCACGCAGTTTGAATTTAAAATATAAAAAGAAAAGAATGTTTAAGATTTTTTTTTTGTTTTTCTTCACCATTTGCCAATAATACTTATTCTGAATCTTCTCTGCAAATTTGGCCGGTTATTGCAAAATAACCCTGTATGTGCACACATAATCACAAACTAATAAGTGCTAGGCGCACACGTAATATATTTATCATAATATTTATGAAAAAATAAAAACATTTTCTATACTGTTGTAGCAGCATATTAAAGTTCAACACCAAACTTCGCCGTGTTGATCCTTTGAAGGTCTGCTAAAATTAAGATCAATTCTACTAAATCTTGTCCCATACTATAGATGATTGATTAAGGTTTTACCAGCGAGTGATGGAAAGTAGTGCTACTGGTTACAGATACCAATCCATGTGCAGTGTGTTGATTATGGGAAATGATCAGCTTGAGAAATCCCACGGAATTATATGAGTAGTGAATTCTCTTACGCCGCCACTACACTGCAATGAGTTCTTCATCACTGTCATCATCATTACAGCCCTTCTCAAGTCCACAACCACAGAGTACTTTTTTATATAGGAAAGTCCACAACTGAATATGGGACTGCCCACTCATACCTTCACTCCATCTAGTGAGCGGATGCCCTGCACTTCGCTTGCCGGTACGATGCGTTCTTACTGGGTTTTAATTTGATAAATAGCGTTACACCCGAATAAATATTAAGAGGAGTGTTAGAGTGCTAATTAGGCTAATGATGATTATATTCTAAATAAGGTGGAAAAGATGTTCTGGTTGACCAGTGTTCACATCATAAGTAGCAGCAGATGAGGTCAACCCAATTGCAACATTAGAGAGCAAAGGTAGGTCTTTTGTCATACTTTTGTGGCAGCTTTTGCTATCGCACGGATGGGCCGGCTCGAACCGGGGTGGTGCCACTAGCTCACAGAATACCAGCGTGAAGTAGAGGTTTACCTCTGCGTTGTGCAGGTGGCCGGAGGCCCAATCCCCCCTCCCCATCAACATGGTAGCGGAATTAGATAAAAGACTACCCCAGGAGGGTACCAGCACCCCTGGAGAATCCCTCTGTGCATCCACGACTAAGCTACTCCACTCCTGCGCGGGGCAGCCTGGGCACCAACGCTCAGGCTGCCCCGCGTATTCTGGGCGGAGGGGCGGGGGAGAACATTCCGCTCGCGACTAACACTGCTCGGGGCAAGCGGAGCAATAACAACAAGGCGACCCCTGTAACGCTATTTTTGCAACATCAGGGGACTTCATTCCAACTTTAACGCTGTCCACTATCATCTAGAGAAGGCGAAGCCGGCCTTGCTCTTTTTAACCGAGATTCAGGTGTCCTCTCATACGCGGGGTACAAATTAGAACACTCCTTTGTGCCCCGGGCTGGAGTTTGCGTATACGTCAGAGAGGACATCTGTTTTCGACGCCTCGGCAGTCTTGAAGGTTTTAAAAAGAAGTATAATTCCGCCTCCAGGTCCTTCAAAAGAGTCATTGCCAAGGAAAGGGGTCTGAGCATATCGGCAGAATTGGCGAGAAGCTAGTTCACCTTTCTTCAGGAACCCGGGCACTCTGGTCTCTCGCCAAGGCTATCCAAGGGAACTTCTGTCAGCGATCTCTTCCATCTCTGCACATAGAGGACGACTCATTGGCCCATGCTGCAAAGGAGAAAGCCGATTTGTTAGGCTATGTATTTCCGTCCAACTCAACTAGACGACGGGGGGAACACACCGCCGACCCTCCCGCGGTGTGAGTGCTCCATGCCGGATGTGCGGTTTACACAGCACTCGGTTCGCAAAGCACTCTTTTCCCTGGATATCAGCAAGTCGAGTGGGCCTAATGGAGTCCCTACCATTGTGCTGAAGACGTGTGCTCCGAAGCTGGCCCCGGTTTTAACGCGTCGTTTCCAGTACTCCTACTCCCAAGGCGTCGTCCCGAATTCATGAAAGACAGCTTTGGTCCACCCGATCCCAGGCGACCGCTCAGACCTCATTATTTTATGATATTTTGTTTTCCAAAATAATGGAATCTATTATAAACTGCCAGCTCATAAGGTACCTTGAGGATCACCAGCTGATTAGTGACCGCCAATACGGTTTTCGTCGGAGTCGATCAACTGGTGATATTCTGGTCTACCTGACTCATAGATGGGCGGCGGCAGTGAAGCCCAAGGGGGAGGCATTGGCCATTAGCTTGGACATAGCGAAGGCCTTCGATCGGGCCTGGCACAAACCGCTTCTTTCGAAGCTTCCTTCCTATGGGCTTCCCGAGAAATTGTGCAAATGGATCACCAGTTTCCTTGCTGATCGGAGCATCAAGGTCGTAGTAGACGGTGCATGCTCTGATTTCAAGCCTATCAACGCTGGTGTCCCACAAGGCTGCGTGCTATCACCCACGATGTTTCTTTTGCATATCAATGATATGTTGCAAGCTGATAAAATTAATTGCTATGCGGACGACAGCACTGGTGATGCCTTATATACCGGCCGTGCCAATATTTCGTAGGTAAACGTCGCCGAGTACCGGGACAAACTTGTGTCTGAAGTCGAGTCTTTGCTGAACAAAGTCTCGGATCAGGGGCGACTAAATCTAGTCCAGTTCAATTCCCAGAAGACACAAGTTTGCGCTTTTACCGCTAAAAAGAACCCTTTTGTCGTATCTCCTCAGTTTCAAGGCACTCTCCTTGCTGCCCCAGCTAGCATGAGAATCCTCGGCGTTGACATATCGAATAGTGTGCAGTTTCGTGGTCACTTGGAAGGGAAGACCAAATTGGCCTATAAAAAGCTTAGCGTGCTCAGCAGAGCGAGACAGTATTATAGCGGCACATCACTCACAACTTTACAAAGCCCAAGTTCGGCCTCACGTGGAATACTGTTCTCATCTCTGGGCCGGGGCACCCCAGTGCCAGCTCCTTCCACTTGACCGCATTCAGCGTAGCGTCGAATCGTCGATGCCCGAGTTCTTTCTGAACGGCTCGATACACTGGCCCTGCGTAGGGATGTTGCATCCCTGTACATTTTCTATCGAATCTACCACGGGCAGTGCTCTGAGGAATTGTTCGGATTAATTCTAGCCGCCAAATTTCACGAACACACATCACGTCAAAATTCAAAATACCATTCTCACCATCTGGATGCTTGGCGGTCCACGACTGTGCGTTTTACTAGGAGTTTTCTTCCTCGTACAACTTCTCTGTGGAATCGTTTACCACCGGCGATTTTTCCAGACCGATACAACGCAACGCATCTGCAATTCCCCTGGTGTTGCAGTTGTTCATGGGCGGCGGTAGTCACTTATTATCAGGTGCGCCGCAAGCTCGATTGCGCCCTCTTCTATAAACAAAAAACTGACACATAATGTTTGAACAGTGACAATCATGATAATACGGGGGTGACACTGAAAGTTTTTAGAACTTGCCACTTGTAAACGATATAGGTCTGGTAATAAAGAAATAAGTTCAAATTT